GTAATTAGCATATAACGTCCTCACATTTCATTATTATTGTGAAAAATGTTCTTACATTTCATTTTTTAGCATGTTTACCATTATTTTCACTTCATTGCGCAAAACATCATTTTATGCATTTTCTCAAAATATATCATTCTCTTTAAATAAAACAAAAAGGAAAAGGAAAAAACCAACTGTAATTATAGTCCCAATTTTTTTATAAAGCGGAAATAAGTCCTAAATAAATTATTAAAAAGGTAATTAACACATACTTTTCATTTTTTTTTTACATTTTCACATTTAATTACGCTTTTAATTACTTAAACCACCATTTTTATCTATTTTCATCCAAATTCTCGATAAATAGTTATGAAATAATGAATTTACACTCCTATTTAAAGAAAAAAAATTAAAGAAAATTATTTTTTAATTTTTAATAATTTATTTGGAATTCGTTTGCACTTTTTTTTTTAAAAAAATAATTTCTAATTTTTTAATAATTTATTTGGGATTCGTTTGCACTTTTTTTAAAAATTGGGACTATGGTTAAAATTAATTGTTTAGTTTTTTTATTTAAATATGAGAGTATATTCATCATTTCATAGCTCTTATTGAGAAATTGGAGGAAAATTGATAAAAATAATAGTCTGCACAATCAAATGTGTAATTAAATGTGAAAATGTCAAAAGAAAAAAAGCATAGACATTTTTCGCAATAATAGTGAAAGGTAATATTATGTGCTAATTACCATTTTAATAATTTATTTGGAACTCATTTGCACTTTTAAAAAAATTGGATTATGATTGCAATTTTTTTTTCTTTTTGTTTTATTTAAAGAGAAATGTATATTCATCATGTTACAATTTTTAATTGATAAAATGCATGACAATGACATTTTAAGCAAAGAAAGATGAAAATAAAGGAGAAAATATCAAAAAATAAAATGTAATGATGTTTTCTACAATTGTAGTGAAAGATGGGGACGTTATGTACGAATTACCCTAATTTCTAATATCATGGATTTAATTATATAAAATGTCTATTATAAATTTATCTATTATCACGAATCATTTTAATTGTATGTATACAATCGTTTGGGCCATCCTAAGCACGTTGTTGTTTGACATTGTTATTGTCTCATTATATTCATGTAAATATGTATTATTTTTTATTCATATTTATGAATTTGTGCGGCTTTTTTTGGCTGGACATATATATGTCAGATGTCTTTTCATCACTGCGATTCATCTTTGGCTTGACGATTTATATTTTTAATGTTTCTAAATTTATGGTTTTTATTTAGTTGTTTTATTATTTATTAAACCATGATTTAATAATTAATTTTAGGAGAGATGGTGGTACATTGACATATGTGCAATTATATTGAGCTTTGGTAGTTAGTATTTTGTTGAAACGTGAACAATGACCATTTGTATTGGTCTTTGACTTATTTTTATATTAAATAAAATCATTTGAATTTTTTTTCATATTTGGGTTAAAAGTTATAATTTGTAATTTTGAAATATTAATTATAATTAGCATATGTCACTACATCATATTGGTATCTGTGCATAATCACATTTTTTTTTTTTATAAAAGATGTGTTGTATGATATTATATTTGTATGATATGTATTTGCTATATGATTCTTTTTTCAACATCGATAAATAAATTAGTAAATTAACATATCAACGGTTTTTTTGTTTTATATACTAGAAACATCACAGATGAATACATCATCATCGAAACACTAACAGAAACGAGGTCCGATTCATCAATAGATCAACAAATGAGTCAGATCGTCAATTTGATTTAAAAAATATTAATTCTTTAGGATTTGTTAATTTCTAATGTATATTTTTGTTGTCATATCTTAAATTTATTTTTATATTTGTAGAATTGATGTCACAAAACAAATATTGTATTATATATTTATAAGATAATTAATGCATTTGAAGAATAGTGAATTATAAAAGTATCCATATTTCGAAAATGTTCTATCGAAATCTACAGCAATAAGAACGATCCTGTTGAAATTTTAAAACTAAATTTATGTGATGTGAGAAGTATTTTATAATGCCAGAATTAGCAGTATTTTGAAATGGAAAAAATAAGAGCAATCAACCCTTATTCAAAATTTTCACATTGTATACATAGTTTCATAATATATATATATTAGGAAGTGGCGAAGAATAAATTTCTTAGCCGCGATATTTTCAATTTTATATTATCAGTCTAAAGACCCTCACAACTCCTTAGTCATTTTTATCGTATTATGCATGTTGTATAGTGAATCTGGCATACCGTTCATAACATAATTGTGGTAAAGGAAATCAGAATGCTTTCAAGCCACGATTTGAGCCCCATTTTCTAAAAAAATCATTTTTCCTCAAACTCATTTTCAACTTATATTCGCACATAAAATAATTTCACGTAAACTAAAAAAAAAAATTCTACTTTTTAACCACACTTTTTTCAAAAATCACTATTACAAAATCTATTCATTCTAAAAAAATAAGGCTTGAATAGGAGCCAAGCATCAAGTATGTTGATAGCTGGGATATCTCTCTCACAGTATGATTTTGCAATTTAACCATAGTTCGATTTCCAGTAGCAACATTCATATAGGTTGATTCGATTTTAATTTCTGGAAAATCAAACAAATATTAATTTTTTGTTGAAGATTAAAAATAACCACATGTTTATTCTTTGGACAAAATATGTTCTAAGTTTATCGGTATAGGTTGATTCGATTTTAATTTCTGGAATATCAAACAAATATTAATTTTTTTTTGAAGATTAAAAATAACCACATGTTTATTCTTTGGTCAAAAAATGTTCTAAGTTTATCGGTATAATGTCACAAAATATGAAAATACAATAATATATTCAAAGTGAAAAAGATTTTTAAAAAAAAAGGAAAATTAAAACTACGGAAAAAAAGAAATTTTGATCACTAAAGGGAGAATTAACAAATCGATGTATGTACTACACAGTGTTCTTAAAACAAATTCGATTTCCTTCGTTGTAAGTGCTTAAGATTTCATTTGAGCATACATCTCCCTGAATACCATGGGGAAACTAGTAAAATCTGAGCATTTCAGTTTACTACTCGGACGTACTAAATTTGTACTAGAACACAACCATCAAGACTTCAATGTAAGTTGAAAAATTTTCAAGCAGACAACTGAAAAGATTATATTCGAACAGCAAGGGACATTCATGTGTGAAATAGAGAAAAGTTCAAGTTCTATTACAGGCTCAACTCCATGAATGGTCGGATAAATTCTTCAATTAACCAGCCATTTTATAACCAAATATATGGCCATAATTATTGAGGTTTCAAGGGTTATAGAAGTTGGAATGTAAATTGAAAAAAGAAGATTAAAAAAACATCTATAGAAAATAAAAGCAAAACCTTTCCCAGACATCGATTTCATTTCAACATCCGTATACATAGGTCATGCTTGCACACAAATTCAATGGTCCGATGTACTAATTTGGTTCGTAATTTGTCCCTTGAATGCACACGTGAGAATATCTATACTATACATGATTATACTTTTTAAAAGTACAACCATATATATAAACTAATTATTGCCTTTTTGTGTGTGCAGGACAAATTATTCTAGTTTGTTCATCCAACACATAAAACATCTTTAATAAGTACACTTCGAACACCAATTTCTAATTCAACTTAACAAATCAATATTAAGCTATTGATATACTTTGATCTTTCAAAAAAAAGGAAAAAACAGATCTTTCAATAAGTACACTTTGACAAATAAATATTGTAACGACCGACCTTGCGCCGCAGCCGTTATCATATAATCGAAGTCTTGGATTCGAATTTTGGGGGGACGCGTCAGAAAGTTGTGAGGGATAAGATGGACCTAGACTCTCCCATGGCGGACAATACGTAAGATATGATAATGGCTCCGGCGCGAGGTCGGATCGTTACAAGCACGTTTTTTTTTTTGTAACGACCCGACCTCGCCCCAGAGCCGTTATCATATCTTACGTACTGTCCGCTTTGGAAGAGTTTAGGCTCATCTTAACCCTTACGAATTTCTGACGCATCCCCCAAAATTCGAACTCAAGACCTCCATTGTATAGGAAACTTATGTTAAATCCTGGTATCAGTCTCTATACCCAAGCCGTTAGCTTGCGTACTGTTCGCTTTGGATGGGCCTATGCCTGCTTATCCCTCGCGGCTTTCGACGCGCCCCCCAGTATTCGAACCCAAGACCTCCATCATATGAAAGACTTAAGTTGAATCCGGTACTAAAGCCGTAAATGATAAGTGGGCATAGGCCCACCCAAAGCGTTGGTATAGAGACGTGGGTCGTTACAAATATACTTCGGTCTTTCAAGAAAGAAAAAAACAGATCCCACCCAAAAATGTCAAAACATAAGCCATTTTTCCAACATAGACAACCCATACACAGTCCCTAAGTTGCTTAATCCATGCATCTAGGTCGAAAATATGACATGTCACGGTCATTTTTGGCCTTGAACAGACGTGGGTTTTCTACTTCTAATGTTAAAATGCGAGAATCTTTTGTTTTCAATATTCCTACAAAATACAATATCGTAAATGAATTCAGTAACAATCATCAATCTATAGAAATAAAGTTCCAAACAAACATGGTTTCAACTTTCAAGGCATTGACAAAGGTACCATGAAACAAATTAACCATAAATCTTCTGTTAATATCTGCTACAAACATAATATCCTAGTCCTACACACCATAACAAAAAAAGTTTCTAAAATTGAGGCTTAATTCAGTTTTTGTTCTTCTCCAGATTATCATCATTTAGGACACCAACGAAAACAAATTCAGATGAACTATCAATCTTAGGGCCGAAATTCGATATGAAAGAGCTTCAACCAGGATGGGTGGAAATATTGTTTCTTTCAATTGAAAACACTTGATTTCTACTAGATCTTGACATCACCTTAAATTGAAGTTTAGAGCTGTTAATAGTTTTAATCACATTCTAGCAGTCAAAAACTGCTAAGGACGCAGCTTACGATCATCGTCTTCCTCGTCATCAGAATCACCACGCTCGCGAAATCGTGGATTTTTCTCCTGTAAAACAAATCAATATTAAGCTATTACTGATTTATGACGTATAATGGAAAAT